TCAGAGGTTCAAGCTCACCAACCACTCCTTGGTAACCCTATATAGGGTCACTATGGGTCAGAACCGATGTGACGGCATTTAACAACAATGCCTATCCTATCTCCAAGTGTATCATTTCATATTTGACAACTTTCCTTTTTCTTTGATTCCTACTTCACAATAATTAGTTTTTCTATAATAAATATAATTGTTATACATGGTAAATAATATATAATGTACTTAACAATATTAAATAAAATTCATAGTAATAATGATCTCTGTTTTTCTTTTCTCTTTATTTTAGATAAGTATGAGAGTGAAGCTAGTAAATATTGGGACATGTTTTACAAGATTCATAAGAATAAGTTTTTCAAGGATCGTAATTGGCTGTTTAGGGAATTTCCTGAAATTCTTCCAGTTGATCAAAGAGCTACAGAGAAAGCAAAAGAGTTATCCTCGAACCATGTAAAAACTAGTGTGGCAAATTGCTTCTCAACAATGCCTGAAGTGAAAAATCATTACAAGAAAACTTTTGGCTCATCAGATGGTCAAAGCCGAGCAGGAAATGATTGTTCCAACCAAGACTCTGAAGAGCACAGAAAGGAACCTCTGAAGATGGAATTGTTTCCTGGTAGCAATGCCACTTTCAGAATACTGGAGGTACTGTAATCTAGGGATAAAGGCAGGAGGTGGCAAAGCATTTTATATTCCATCTTATTTTGTTCTTAGTATGGGTTTTTCAAAGGGGAATATGATCAAATCTGAGTAAATACATGTTCGGTATACTTTTGTGCATAAAGAATATTCAAGAGACTCATGTTTTTAATCAGTCAAGTTTTAAGTTTGGTTTTTATATAATTTTGTTTTATAATTTGTTTGTTTTCATTCCTAACTTGCAAGCAGTTTTAAGTACCAAAACAGTTTTGGCCTATATTTTTTACTCTTTATATGTGCTATTACTTCTTTTTAAGTGTAAAAGAATCAAGGGAGATATATAATCTGCTACAGCCTGGGTTCAACCTTGGTTTTATATTATTAGAAATAAATATTTCTTTGTGATTATAAGGGTAGTATAGATGGATTGTAGTGAATCTTCTAAATAGTAGATAAGATCTATGAAAGTATTCACTATCCTATAAGCAAGGGGTTTAACCATTGTTAATATTTAACCCAAAGGAGCTCTGGTAGCGTAGTGATTACGAATTGGGCTGTGAACCTCAATGACAGCAGTTGGAAACTACCAGCTGTTCAGTGGGAGAAAGATGAGGCTTTCTGCTCCCGTACAGCCTCAGAAACCCTGTACAGGGTCGCTATGATCGGAACCGACTCCACAGCACTTAACAACAACAACAACAATATTTAGCCCAAGGAGCTCTGGTAACATAGTGGTTATGAGTGGGGCTGCTAACCTCAAGGTCAGCAATTTGAAATGTTAATACCAGCGGTTCCGCGGGAGAAAAAATGAGACTTTCTGCTCCTGTAAAGATTTACAGCCTTGTAAACCCTGTACAGGGTCGTTATGAGTCAGAACTGACTCCACGGCACACAGCCAAACCCTATACAGGGTCACTATGAGTCGGAACTGACTCCACAGCACATAACCACCACCACTGCCTCCAATATTTTACCCCCAAATGAGATTGATTGGCACAGTAGCAGCAACAATGGGCTCAAGTGTAACAATTTTGAGGGTGACGCAGGACCGGGCAGTGTTTTGTTCTGTTATACGTAGGTATGCTATGAGTTATAGCTAACTCAACAGTACCTAGTTACAACAGTATTTACTGATTGTGTTGTTTTATTTGTACTATTTTATATACTTGAACTATACTGTGTATGTATTAGGGGTGTTTCTGGTTTGTATTTTTAACGTATAAAAAATACTTTTTCTTATTTTTTAAGAATTGTGTTTAAACATTTTTCATGGCTGAAAAATATTTTACTATGTGGAATACTATAATTTTATTATTGTATTTCCACATTATTGAGCATTTCAATTCTTCAGGTGTTCTGCAATAAATGTCTGTGGATAGATGTTAGCTGCATTTTTTTTTTTTTTTTTTTCTGTCATGTCGGCCTCTCCTCGGAACCCCTATACAGGGTTGCTAGGAGTCACAACTGACACAACGACACTTAACAATTTATGAAAAGCTTTGATACTTTTAAAACACATGGACATCACTGTTTAAAAAGTGGTGCTAATGCCAATTCCATGACAGTGTATGTTTCGTCACACTCTCATTGTCTTGAATGTTATTTTATTATTTTCTATTTTGATAGATAAAAATTATTTCTTATTTTAATATACATTCCTTTGATTATAAACAAGATCATTTTCAAATGTTGAGAAACCATTTGTACTTGTTTTGTTTTTGTCTATTTATTTCTTTTGCTTAGTTAACTGTTTTGGGGTTTTTATTTTGTTTTGTTTGTTCTGTTTCACTTTGTTTTTGAACTCTGCCCTTTATCATATTTTTTACACATACTTTCTTTGCAGTATGCCAGGCTTTGTTGTACAAACGTTTTAAATATTTCCTTAGTCAAGTTTCCCAGTATTCTGTGGAATTTATTCCATTGCTTTTGAATTTAGAAAATCCTTCTCCATCTATTGAGCAGGTACATTTCTTCCAGTTTCTTTTTGTTGTTTGTTTGTTTTTCAAACAGAAAATCTGACATTGGTGAGAAAAATGTCTCATTGTTTTCATAATACTTGTTTCTTCTTTTGATCTTAGGTTGGCTGTGGTGCTGGAAATAGTGTCTTTCCGATCCTGAACATATTACAGTAAGTTTGAGAGTTTTCATAATTATGGGATGTTAAATTCTGGCAAAATGTTGTCATGTATATTATAAGATATACACCTGTATAAGTATCGTTGAGTCAGTTCTGACTCTTAGTGACCTTATTTAAGGTTTCTGAGGTTTTAAATCTCTGTGGGAGCAGAAAGCCTCATATTTCTCTCATGCAGAAGCTGGCAGGCTCAAATTGCGGACCTTGTGGTGCAGTACGTAGCGTATGAAACCACCATGCTCCCCATCTACATGTAGAAATATACATTTATATTCCTATTTTTATGTATTTTGTTGTTGTGAATATGCACAGCAAAACATAGACCATTCCAAAGTCTCTACTTTACAGTGTAGTGCCACTGATGACATTCTTCAAGCTATAAACCCATTCCCACCCTCTTTGTTTCTTTTTTGAGTGAATTCTCTTTCATTGGCATAAACTCACTTCCCCCTAAGGTTCCTATCTAATCTTTCAAGTTACTGTTGTCAATTTGACCACATAAAGATAGCTCTTAAAAGAGCACAATATGCTCTCTCTCTTCTGGTCCCTGTTGCTAGGAGCTGCAGGTGTGGGTGTAAACATGGCCAAGTCCAAGAATCACACCACGCACAACCAGTCCCGAAAATGGCGCAGAAATGGTATCAAGAAACCCCAATCACAACAATATGAGTCTCTCAAGGGGTGGACCCCAAGTTTCTGAGGAATATGCGCTTTGCCAAGAAGCACAACAAGAAGTGTCTGAAGAAGATGCAGGCCAACCACGCCAAGGCCGTGGATGCATGTGCCGAGGCCATCAAGGCTCTCGTAAAGCCCAAGGAGGTCAAGCCTAAGATCTTAAAGGGTGTCAACCGCAAGCTCAGTCGACTGGCTTACATTGCCCATCCCAAGCAGGGGAAGCGTGCTTGGGCACGCATTGGCCAAGGGTCTGAGGCTCTGTTGGCCAAAGTCCAATGCCAATGCTCAAACTAAGGATGAAGCTTCAGCCAAGGCCTTAACTCTAGCCCCAGTCAAGGCCTCAACTCCAACCCCAGCCAAAGGCCTCAACTCAGGCTCCGAAAGGTGCCCAGGCCCCCACAAAGATGGAATAGCGTTCTCCATCTGAGGACAGAGGGACTGGCATGACCCTTTGGGCTACCATCTGCATGGAGCTGGTGTCCTGTGCTATTTGTACAAATAAACCAGAAGCAGGAAAAAAACAAAAAAGAGCACAATGCTCATGACTGACCTTTTTTTTACTAGTTAAGCTAAACTGTTACTGGTTTTAAGATGACTTCAGGAGATAATTCAAGGCTCAAAGATTGTCTCCAGACGGTTGTTTCAGTAGTTCCGCCAACTTCCATGGCTCAGGAAGTGTGCCGTATATGAACATTTGAAGATCTGTCTGCATTTCCCCACTTTTCATCAGGATTCTTCTATGGAATCTTTGATCAAAATAGTATTGGTAGGTGGGCACCATCTAGTTTCCAGTAATAAACCCTGTACAGGTTTGTTATAAGTCAGAACCAACTTGTTTCTCATATAAACAATAATGCAGTAAATTTCAATAGAAGTGTTACTGTTAGTGACTATTTCCTATGAACTACTTTGAAAATAGTCGTAGACAACTGTAATATCACTAATGGAAGATAACCATGGGCTAAAGGAGTTTTTAAGCTTGTGTTTGTGTGGATGAGAGAATAAAGAAAAAGCAAGAGATTTGATCCTTTCATTAAGCTGTGAACTACTAAATCTTAGAGATTTATTTGTTCCTCCAGGATTCTTAAGTGTCACTTTATACATAAAGAATTGAGTTTAAAGCAATTAACCTTCATTTTAATTTGTCATTACTTCTGGAGTATAATACCCAGTATAAAAGCAGGACATGTCAAGTGATTACCTCTAGATTTTAAGTCATTTGTAGGTAAAAGCAACTAGCCCAAAGATTCAGAAGAGCAGAAGTAAATGCTAGAATCAGAGGTGTTCCCTGACCCACACTTCTGTTTACCAGCTTACCTATATTTCTTAGTATTTTCAAGATGATGAGGAAGACACTTAGTACCTTGTAAAACTGATCAAACTCCTTTTACCTGTGGTTGAGATTCGAAGTTTTATTCTTATTTTGTAAAGTTCACACATAGCTTTCAGATTTTTCCATTCTAAAATCAGCATAAGAACTATGCAAAGCATTTGGACATTAGAATGAAATGGGAAATTCATCCATCATCCCCCTCATCCTATCATAGCCATTGCCAGAATTTTTGTTGTGTTTCATTTCTGTCTTTTCTCTATGCATTTCTTTCAACTGAATAATAACAAATATCAAACTTTTCATTATGAAAAATTTAAAATATTCAGAATTGAATAGTACAGTGTATCCTTATATTTCCACCACCTCAGTTCAACAATTATCAATATAATCTCAATATCATGACATTTTATTCCTAAATATTACTTAAAAATGAAGTCATTATCCAATATTATTGTAAACCTAACATAATGAATAGTAAGGAGTTCCCTAAGATCATCTCAGAACCATTGGAAGTAGCCAGGCACAAAGGATGCTGGTAAATTTTCAGTTCTGTATTACCTTTCTCATTTTCTATTTTTCCTTTCTAGCTTCTAAGCAGAAATTTTCTTTCCTCTTATACCAGTGTTAACAGCACCTGGGTGATCTCCAAACTTATAATGCATATAAACTTGGCACATTGGTAGTTGACTGTGTGTATTGTAGGACTCCTAGTGTGGTGCTGTAGGATTAACACTGGACTGTGAACCACAAGGTCAGCAGCTCAAACCCACCAGCTCCTCCTCAGCAACCCTGTACAGGTTTGTTATTAGTCGGAACCAACTTGATGGCCCCTAATAACAACATCATAAGACTTTAGGACTCAATGTATAGGATTAGCATGTCATTCTTTGTCTTTTCTTTCCAACTACTGTTTGAATCTTGAGGTAGAAGCCATATCTTACCTCCCTCTGATTTTCCAGGTTGCCTTGCATAATGCAGTTAAAGAATGCTCGGTATATATTGATTGACTAGTAATCGCTGATTCTCTACTCTTTCACTGTATTTTTCCCTTCCTACTTCCCCCTCCAGCTAGCAGTTGAAAGCTCTTACCTCCTAACATCCTGACTCTTTCTTTTCACTGTATCTGGTTTTGCCTCATATCCATATTTTTAAAATCACAGTAGATCAATAACTTGAGATAATTCATTCATTTTTAAAAAGGCAACCAGTGACTTGCCTTCCAAAGGGAGAATTACACTTTTTCCCTCCTTCTCCTAAGAAACTGTTTTATTACTTTTGGAGAGCATAGGATTAATGTCTTACATTTTCAGAATAGTTTACCGTAATTGGACCTCTGGAACTGAGAGGTCATATCATTTTCCAAGGATCATTTAATTCTTAAACCCCCTGCCAGGAGAGTGCTTGGTAGTGGTGTGGTAGTTTCTAGTGATATTTGCACCTGTTTGCTGGGAGAAGGGCCAATGTAGTCAGCTGACTTTGCAGAAAGGCTCTGGAAAGTCATTGAGTGGTCACAGGACTTCAAGTTGGGCTGCTGATGCAGTGGGAATTCAGTCTCAGAGGTCATGCTATTGCCCTGTTGGGACATATGACAGATCGCACATGCTTTCCTTCAGCTTTTGGGCTGTTCTTTGGCTGGTGGGTGTTCAGTAACCACTGCCCAAAGACTAACTGCATCTAGTTTCCCTAATGAGCCAGATGTGCCAGAAGCAAGGTTGGCAGTTCACACCAACCAACCACTCCACAGGAGAAAGATAAGCTGTCTGCTTCTGTAAAAATTAGTCTTGGAAATGCTACGGAGTAGTTTTATTCTGTCCTGTAGGGTTGCTATGAGTCAGACTTGACTTGATGGATGTGGGTTTTTACTTGGTATTATTGGCACATAGATGAGGTTCAATAAATGTTTGACAGCTTGAAAACATAATCAAGAATTATTATAACATTATTTTGTATTAACATTTAATAATAAACATTATTTTCATGCTGTTAGAAATATACATACATATATGATATCTATTTATGTCCTTGAAGATAGTGCCTTGTCAGGGCATCAGAGGCACAAGAGTCAAATGAATGGCCTAGAAGAAAGAGGAATGAATTAAGCATCCAGGTACACAAGGTCCTGGGAGTCCTTGGCTAAGTAAAGAAGTTGACTAAGTAAAGAGTACCTACTGACTGGAGGCAGAGGAGAGCGTGCCAGTGGTGGTGAATGAAGATGGAGTGGGACCAGGGATGACCTTGATGTTTCCCTTGTGGCAGGAGTTTGAAAGTTATCCTGTTATTGATAAGTCTGGTTCCGAGGCAGCATGGAAGGCAACCATAAACCAGTCTAGGAAACCATATTTACCAACAGAAAATGACAAAGTTCTGTTAGAAAAATTTGTTGTTCTATTAAAAAGTAAGATCTACCATTTCCATTTTTTTCTGTAGTTTGAATCTGTCTGGACTCTAGACATAAATATTTCTTCCATTTTCTTAGGAATGTGCCAAGGTCCTTCCTTTACTGTTGTGATTTTGCTTCTGAAGCTGTGGAGCTAGTAAAGGTATGCCTTACAGTTTTTTTTTTTGTTAAGGACATCTGATGTATGACTCTGATTTATTTGCTGTTGAATTGATTCTTTTGAAATGTTTCTAGGCCACTTGTTATCCATGATCATTTTTAATTGAGCTTTTACTGATTCTAGGAATCATATCATCAACTGATGCTTACATATTGTCCTAAAGAATAGAAGTTGTTTTTAATTTAAAATAAATCTCTAGGGCAGTAGCATTCAGGGGACAATCAGGAAGAGTACTGACCCATGAATACTCACAGTTCAGCTAGCATTACTGAATTTCAGATAAAGACAAGCAAAACTTGTTGATCATTTCTGAGATGTCCTAGACTGTAAGGAAAATAGTAGAGGACCTGGACTTAATTGCAGATCGCTGAATGCTAGTGAACATTACCTTAGGATGAAAAGGTTATTTTAGGGAATGCAAAAGGAAAAGAAATTCTACTAAGAAGATGTGTAATAAATATATGGAACTTAGTACCTGATGATAGCTATTCATTATAGACATTTTCTAATACACTAAAAAATCTGCAGGGGAAGATAAAATTCACCTAAACAATAGCACACTTTCTACAAGTCCCTGCACAAATGGTTAAGCAGTAGATTACTGACTGAAATGTTGGAGGTTCACACCCACTCATTGGTATCTCAGAAGTAAGGCCTAATGATCTGCTTCCAAAAGGTGACAGTCTTGGACACTCTATGGAGCAGTTCTACTCTGTACACCTTGGATTTCTGTAAGTCACGGGTGGTGGTTATGTGCCGTGGAGTCGACTCCGACTCAAAGCAACCCTGTACCGGGTTTCCGAGGCTGTAAATCTTTATGGAAGCAGAAAGCCTCATCTTTCTCCCTCGGAACAGCTGGTAGTTTCGAACTGCTTACTTTGCAGTTTGCAGCCCGATTCATAAC